TTCAGCCCCTGGAAATTTAGATGAGGAGAGTGTTATCTCTAAAAGTACGTCAATGACAAAGTTGAACAAGAATGGGGAGAGTAAACAGCCCTGACGAACACCACTTGATATAATCAATTCTGATGACAGTTCGCCATAAGCTCTCACTCTACCAGTTGTGTTCGAGTAGAGAGCCTGAATAAGGTTAATGTACTTCTTTGGTACTCCTTTCAGTGACAAACACTGCCATAGAACCTCACGACCAACAGAGTCGAATGCCGCCTTAAGGTCGAGAAATACTACCATTGTGGGGCGTCTGAATGTGTGTCTGTGTTCTAGAACCTGACGTAGTGTGAATATCTGATCTATACAACCACGTCCAGGTCGAAAACCAGCCTGTGTTTCTCTAGTCTGTTCTTCACGAGCTTTGATTAAGTGTCGAAGTATTATTGAGGCTAATATTTTAGACACTATATTAGTCAAACTGATTCCTCTGTGATTGTCACAAGAGGACTTTTGTCCTTTCTCATAGACTGGCACAATTAGTGATTGAGACCAGTCAGATGGAATTACGTTCAGTTCCCAAATTCTACCTAAGATCTCGGTTAATCTCATTGCTAATACTGAACCACCATCCTTAAAAATCCCAGGAGTAAACCTGTCAGGGCCTGCTGCTCTCCCTCGTTTCAGATTTCCTATGGCTTTTTCAACTTCGTAAAGAGACGGAGGATCTACATTAACTTGCCATTCAGGTTGACTGGAGATCATGGGAAACCGAAGTGTGGCTGAAGGCCAGTGGAACTGATCCCTGAAGTGTTCTGCCCATCGATCCAATCTCCTGGATTGAGAATGAATAATATGTCCATCTTTCTCTGAGAGTGTTTCGCTAACAGTCGGTTTCTTTAACATGTCTGAACAATTTTCTGCTATTACCTATTGCCGCTGCCTTTTCCATCTCTCTTGCTTTCGCTACCCACCACTGTTCGCGATCATTGCGTAGACTTCTTGTCAGCATGCGCTTAAGCTGACTCCGCTCTTCACTATGTTCAGAGCCAGGTGGAATGAGTTTCCGAGCATCTATCAGTGCGATAGATGCTGCTGAGATCCAATGTTGCTCCCTAACCTTCTGGTTTACCTTACTAGCAGATATCACTGCTGTTTCCACAGCTTTTCGGATATCATTCCATACTGCATCGGGGTGGGCATCACATACATGGCTGCCTAACTGTATTTCTAGTTGTTCCTGAAATATACTCTTAGCTTGACTATCATTAAGTAGGCCCCTAAGAGGTTTCCTTGCAGCGTCTTTCCTACGTTCAGTAAGACGCAGGTAGATAAGCGCCCGTACTAGAGCATGATCTGAATCTAAGCGTGTGCTCCAGAATGAGCGACAGTCTTCTATCGAGCCCCTCCATCGGTGGCTGATGGCGATGTGATCTATTTGGGTCCAACGTTGGGACGAATTAGGGGGTCGCCATGTTAAAAGATGTTTTTCCTTATGCTTAAAGTTAGTATTTGCAAGGAACAGGTGATTATCTGAGCATAGCTGCAACGGACGGTCGCCATTATCAATTCTTTGAGCCACGACACCATAAGATCCACCCCAGGTGTCTTTCCCTATCGCTTAGTTTACCTACTTGAGCATTAAAGTCACCGGCCACCATTACTACATCCGAGCGCCTAGCTTTTAGGAGGAGATCGGAGAGCTTTCTGTAAAACTCATCTTTTACATCATCTGAGCTGCAGTCAGTGGGAGAACAGGCAAAGACGACGAAGAGGCAACGACGGGTGTCCCTATCTTTCCGGAACCTTACTGTTCCGTTCAGTCGGACAGCGCACAAACGACTGTCTACTGGGATCCACTCTAAGAGAGCTAGTTCTGCCCTAGGACTCAATGCTATATCTACGCCGGCGAGGCCACGAGAAGCAGAATCAGGGCTTCCAGATATACGAAGCGTAAATCGAGTCGGTTCTTTATTTTGGCATGGTGAGGTCAAATGAATGACGCTACTCGGATCTTGTATGCGCGTTTCGGAGACGCGGCACACATCGATGGCGCGGGATCCTAAAGTCCTAGCTAAGGAAGCCTGCTGTCCTATTTGGCACAGTGTTCGGACGCTAAAAGCTCCTACGTGTAGTTTAGAGCGTGGTTTCAGGAAACCAGGAATAACGTTCCACGTACTCGAATCGTTTGCCCTAGCGGTGCGAGATGATAAAGAGACTTCAGGAGGGTTAGTCATGGAGATAAGAGAAGTATTAGGAGGTGTAGGAAGGATTTGAATGTGACCAACTTGGTCTCGTGTGCTGTTATGGGTATGAAGGCTGATATCACTTCCCGGCTGCCCACACCGTGGGAGGGTATTTCTTGAGGAACCTGAAAAGCAAATTGGATTAGTGTTGGTCTTGACGACCTGAGAGCGTGACCGCAGAACCCAAAAAACAACTGCTTGAGGCCGGTCGCGCACGGCCTTTTCGTGGAAGGTTTTTAATGTATTAACTCTGTTCTTCAAAAAGCCTTACCGCCGGAGACGGAAATCCGTGAGGTAAGGTGAGGTGTGACATTTTTAGGGTCGACCTTTTCTAACCCCACCCCTCCTTGTGGGAAGGCAGCATCGCTGCAGATGCTGGTTGTCCAAGGGAAACACCTTACTGCTGTCACACCCCTCTACAGTCAGCAGTACGACTTCGCCCTCAGACCTTGAGTTGCTGCTTTTAGTCTTACCGTTCTCCAATCGACCTGCCTGGCGTGGTAGAACCTACAGAAGCATATGTTCCAGCCAATATGGCTCGGTTGGGTCATCACGATAGGCAAGCCCGACCACCGTGTCAAGGTAGCAGCTTCTGTCGGGGGCCAAACCAAAACGTGGCATCAGTGCTTGAAGACACTAACCTCTAGTCTGATCCATGTTGGTAGATGCAGACTACTTGGTTGGGGTCCGCGTGACTTTCGTAACCGATGGTTGGAGACTCTTGGTGACATGGCTCAGAATCGATCACAATGGCGTCGGTACATACACTCCCTGTCTTCCCTTGAAATCACTTCATATCTTTCTTTCTACGAACTAATTCGTTATTCCGGTACTGTATCCTTAAATGCAATCTTTCTCCTATATATTACCACCTTTAACCTAACCACTCCTATGATTCCGGTGTTCATATTGTTGTGCTAATGAGGTATGATAACCTGGACTGATGCATATATGTGCCTGGTCCTACGTTGTAGCTGATTGACTGACTGACAATACCAGGGAAGGTCTTCAACAGAGTTTTGCTGAACCGGATGAAAGATGCAGTAGACGCCCAACTTCGAGATCAACAAGCTGGATTCCGTAATGAACGGTCGTGCACAGACTAAATTGCGACACTACGGATCATCGTCGAACAATCAATTGAGTGGAAATCGTCGCTGTACATCAACTTCATTGAGTACGAAAAGGCATTTGACAGTGTGGATAGGAGAACGTTATGGAAACTTCTTCGACACTACGGAGTTCCTGAGAAGATTGTCAATATTATCCGGAACTCATACGACGGACTACAATGCAAAGTCGTGCATGGAGGACAGCTGACAGATGCATTCCAAGTAAGGACCAGAGTAAGACAAGGCTGTCTACTCTCTCCCTCTTTCTTCTGGTGGTCAACTGGATTATGAGGAGCTCGACATCTAAAAGAAAACACGGTATACAATAGACAGCTCAGAATTAATTAGACGATTTGGACTTTGCAGATGACCTAGCCCACCTGCTTCGGTTTTGGCACCAGGGCAGTATCCTATCCCTCACATAAATCGGATTACTTATGTGGCGCATATCTGTTTGGTGCTTCGATGTACAAATGTTTAAGTTTTTATATTAAATTAAATGAATACCACAACTACCCCAGTTGGTGAGGTACTACTACCTCATCAATCGATTTTTCATCTTTACCTGGTACCCTATTCCTAACCCAGGCATTGCTTACTCCGTGGTCCCAAAATACATGAGCAGTGTTTTGAAGATACCTGTGACCGAATACTAGTAATCTACGAATATCCGCTATTGTTAATGACCATTTTTCATACCTACAAAGTAAGACAGAACGAACCGCTGAACGGTGAAGTCGTCCTTTGCTTGGCAGACTGATATCTCGCCTACGCCATAAATGACATAAGTTGGTGATAGCCAATCACGCCTTAGGAGTCCATGCAGAGATTTTGTTAGACACTAGACCATAATGACTGATGAGAATCCCGAGATAACCAAACCAGTCAACGTGTCCCACAACTACACTCCCTATCGTTAACTCAGGAGCTAATGCAAACCAATTCTGTAGCAACATTTTGCATTTAGAAAAAGTGATAAAGAGACGGCATTTTGTAGGCGGCTTTACCAAACAGAATTATAACATTGGCATATTTTAAATCATTAAATAATTCAACCCCTTAACAATCAAACGATGAGTGTCTTTAAAATCCCGTCAAAGATGAAAACCCCAACTTCGATTTCCAACCCCACCTCCAACCTTTGAATCTTAACCTCAATTTATCACACTATGTTATAACCTCCCGACGACACCAATCAGTAGGTGGATTTTCTTAAGGTCACTTTGGCGTCACCAAAAGATCGTTCATAATTTAGTCTCACTGAGAAATAGATAAGATTAAATAACGTAATTGACTGAATAAGTATATAAGTGGACGAAAAAAACATGGAACAAGTGTTTAAAGTTCAGAAGAAAGATATTATAACTATTGTGGTAAATTTTGATCACAACATGGGATAGTCAACATTATACTGATTTTAGTTCTGATTTTTGGTTACCTATACGGCTGGAGATGTTTATATCAGTGACGACAACCAAGAACAAGTCTCAATTGCATAAAAACCAAAGAATAATCTCTTGACTGTGCGATAAGATGAGGAATTATTTTGGCCAGTGAAATCGACCAAGTGTTTAAGCATGTTTTTTTTCGGGGAAGTAATACTTTAAATCAATACTTACCATGAGAACGAGTGGAAATTTGTAAACGTTAGATTACTTACCTTTGTCGAGTTCATCGCAATTAGATGTCGTATAAACAGAATTTAAAACTTCTTCGGCTGAATTTATATATTCCTACAACATATATGAAGCAGATAAATGGACATACAATTTCGAATTCATCTCTATATGGCAAGTATCCAAGTGACTTCTGATGATCTAATCGCAAATAACATGGGAGATTGTTTCCAGCTTCAGAATCGAAAAGTTTGTTTGGGTAAGTGTGTTCTTTAACAAGAGGAAACGGGAAAGGTGAACACATAAGTTCTTTCATGATTCCTGACATGTAAAACTTGTCATAATGATCTCGACAGTCTGTGGAGTTATGTGACTCTAGTTGAGCGGATATTTCATCCCTAAGATAATATAAGTGATTATACAAAACACTTACCAGTTACCATAACCATAAGTATCCAAAGCGTCTAATAGTTTTAATTCTTCTGAAAGCAACCAATGATTATCAGTGAGATAATAATCTTCAGAACGCTAAAGTCTGTGAGTTTAAATACAATCAAATTTACCTTTATAATATATTTGTGAATTTTTTTATGTTTCCCACCCTCAACCCCACATGCAAAACACTATCATAAAGGTAAAATAATATACTCAGAAATATACTTTCACACATATCTTAATCACTGTACATTCGGCGCACACAAAAGAGAAGCCACTGATCTTCTCTAAGCAGTAGCAGCATTTTGACAACTTGCGAAACATAGTAACATCAAGGTTGTTTTTCGCGCTTGTTGCTATATCTAAATTATATATTTCGATCTTCAGTCTTCAGCGGAAAGGATAAAGTGTCAACTAACTTACGTTATTGCTCGCAAATATGTAGCACTGTGAATATCCAAAATCCATTTGAATGCATCAACAGGTGCTGATATTTGTTGAGACAGCCCCGACAAACATATTTCGTAATTATTTTTCGATACTTTTTGCATTTCTTTTGTTAATTTCCATAATTTGTACATTTATTACAAATGAATGTAAAAGTTGTTTTCAACTGCATGACTTTGAATGCTTCCTTCCTCTTGTTATCAAATGCCAGTTGTTACGATAACTGAACCGTAAAATATTTTTTAAAGTGCAAGAACAAAGATTCTAGCAGAATAGCATGAATTCATTTTATTTCGTTGGTTCTTGTCAGCTGCTTACAACCTGTGGTATTTAAAATCATAATTACATAATGGTTTTAGTTGGAAGTTATATTGAAAACCTATCATTTCAGTATAGCAAGGGTGTAAACTAATTTAACAGACCGATAATTGTAAATATACACCTTATGTGAAGGAACATTCTGCAACATTGATTGCGACAACAGTCCAAATGACCAGAAACAAGTGATTACATATTGAATAAATATTGATAGGAATAAAATGAGTAACGCTAAGTTAATAAAATAAGATCATTAATTTGGAAGATAGTTGAAATAAGATTCAATGATGTAATAAATGTGAGAAAAAGTTTAAACAAGAAAAAAGGAAGTTTTAATATGCAGCGAAGGAATATTTGTCACCAAGGCAAGGAGAGACTAATAACCGTCTCCTTTGGAACACATAAGTCGGATTTTTGAGGCGTGATAGCAACGGCTTTAGGAGACTGGAGTTTAGTTGCTTACTTATCACCTAGAAAAATCGTAAGGTACCACCATGATTTCCTGTATCAAGGTGATGTTTGGTAATTGCAATAGAAGAAGAACTGATGGACGTGGAAAAATGAATAAGAAACAACTTTTACTAGCAGAAGTTTACGTGTACCTGCTAAAGCAGCTACATTGACCGAACAGAAAGGAGGGAATATCTTAGATTTTTTGAACATGTTATTCTCGACATTTATAGACCACAGCTATGTTTCTGTTATATACTACTCGGTACGAGAAACGAACTCCATGTGTATATGATTCGGTTTAGGTTTTGAACTTTCTTAGAATGTCTTCTCACGTGACCAGTTTAAGACTGACGTGCAAGAAGAGACATATTAATAGCAAAATCATCGTTCAGTATACAGTAAGCCAACACTAAACGACCTCGTAAGCCACTAGAGGAAGTTAACCTCTACAAGTTAAGTCTTTATTAATTGGCCAGGACCCAGTAATTTGATGTAAATGAGTATAAACGTGATGATAATAACAATATATTTCTGCATCAGCAGGTAAACTCAATCTTTACAATCATGATCTATAAATTACGACATTTGTTGGCTCACAGCATACTTTCCAACTTATTAAATTTATAGTTGTCATATAGTAGACTCGTAGAGCGCTTGCTATAAACCATGACCTTGAGTAGACGCCTACGTCAAGTTTGTTCCAGACGTCAGAAGTTCCATAAATGTGCCTTCATTGCAAGATTCTTGAGAAAGGAAAAATAGAAACAGAATGGCAGCATGGCACCTGGATATTAACGTTAAACGTTGCTTAACAATTAGTAGTAGAACAGACAGAGGTATAATAATAGGATTAAATTCATAATATCACTTGTTAGAGTGAAATGAAGTCAAAGGATCCAATGAGATATGATGCTTGAAAAGTTGGAGTTAGCGCATATGAAGGAGGGAAGTCAAGGTTGGCGCAAGGAAAGATGTTTATTAGAAGATAATGTGAATATAGAGGGTGTAGTGTTACGAATACTAATAATAATTATATTATTATTATTTATTCTCAAATAACAGATTGTTACATGAGGCATGTCATATCATATCTTTTGTTGTCTTTATTTCCATATTTTCTTCTTTCGTCCATCCGATGCTAGCCACAAAATCCTAGTGTAAAAATTCGAGTTAGCATGTTACAGACCAATCGACCAATTTTGGGGAAAATTCGAATCATTTTGGGAAATTTTAGAGAAATAGTAGTAAAACATCAAACGTTCCCAATATTCCCCCCAAATTTCCGCAGAATCTTACTACACTTTGCGAAAATCGGCTTATATTTATGAACACTTAAGTCAATCCTGCCTCCATGACCTAGAGTGGCGTTGTTCAAAGAGTTGTTTGAGTGCATCCTAGCTTTCATTCATTACTGGGTTTTCACAACTAAGTATTTTGTAAAAATTAAAAAATCCTAAAAACGCCGCTTAAGATCATTTCTGGTGAGTTATCTCTCTTCTCTAGTGCAATCACAGATATTGTTTTCGAGTTATTGCCTTTTGAAAATCTGCAATTCTACAAGCGTAATTGAAGATCGTATGAAACTCTAGAAATTTCCGACTATTCCCCTTAAAATTTCCGCAGAATCTTACTACACTTTGCGAAAATCGGCTTATATTTATGAACAAAACCCCAACATTTTTCACAATTTTCAGGAAATTTTGCGTCTTTCCCGAAAATTTTCACTGATTTCTGCGCTTTTCCCCAAAAAACTGCCATGATCTTATTACAGTTTTTGCAAACTTGTTTGCACGCAATACTTCTCAACAGATTTTTACAGATATACGGAAAAGTCAGGCGAGAATGAGTACCTATAGTTTTTACTGCGATATTCCATTATTTTAAGTCAATTATGCAGAGAACGCAGTGCCAAAGAAACTTAACGTTAACCGATCTATCGCTGTAATTAAAAGACTGATTCGTGACACATTGAAGTTTTTATTACGGTTTATAAAATTACAAATCATTGATTTATACATTGCTTTGTAATGTAAGCACGTTCCGTAAACGTTGAACTATCATTCACGTCAATGACGTACCAACGGTGTAACAATGTTGTTAATAATGCGAACAAAAAACTTACACTTACGTCTGTTAAAAGTTGCGCAGCCATCTGAAAGCAATATGGACAAGAAATAATTTTTTACTGACAAGAAAAAAGGTGTTTAGGTATAAAAATTGATCACAAATTGATATTAAAACTGCAATATGTATTCAACCAAACATGTAGAGTGCTTTTAACTCACCCTTTCTTTGGATCGCCATCCACTTTTATTTACTTTATCACTTGCGTCATGCAAGAAAGCCTGGCCTGCAAAATCCATGGCGTGTACTACTTCTTTTTCGGGATAGGTTGCACTTCGGAATCGGGAACACAGAACACCTACAAATACATTAATACTGTAGTGTGGACTTACTTTGAATCGTCCGGTAAAATTTGTACTTACTAATACCGGATTTACTTTTCGTTCCGTGTAAAGCGTACGTGTTCGCCAGTTCCGGCAACAACAGATAACTTAGACAGGCTTTTGCAGATATACGAGGGTCATCACATATGAGCACGTACAATCTGGCCACTTAAAATTTGTTCAAACACCTGTTACGACTTACGAACTGATCACGGAACTTCAACTCATATAAAGCAACTTCAAAAGAACGCAACTCCTCATATGTTTTTAATGGGAAAGCAATAGTTCAATTGTCTACTTGGTCGGTACGCCTGTCCATTACACCCATGGATGAGCGTTCATTGAAAGCGATCAGTTTATTTATCTTGCTAGACAGTTCAGTGACTGCTTTCAGAATCATTTTCAGGGTTTTACTGCCATCATTGCACAACCTTTTCTTATCATGTTAACATTGACTCCAACTTACGGTTTATTAACTTCCGTTGATGTACATGGAAGCAGTGGTGAGAAAACCTCTGTTTTTGATGAACTACTTTACGAGCATTGATTAAATAGGTACCTGCTTCGCTATAAGTGAAAAGTTTCCTGTCGAAATGTTGACAACTGGAAAGTCGACCAAGGTGAATCCAGCTTCAACCTCAGCAACATCTAGTTCTTCAAAGTTGCATAGATAATCGTTAGATTTTTGTTTAGCAGCCCTAAGAAAAGTGATTTGGTGAGTTGAACAATTTACCTTCTCGGCTTCTCCGCTTCACACGGTAGCGTTTCATCATCTACTGTAATTTTATTATTGTAACCGAGTACTGCGGTTAAACAGACTTTCATTTCCTCGGCTAAATGTTGTCATCTGAAAATAATGAACTTAGACGATGCAGTATATATATACCGATAGTACTGAAAGGAAAGGGTCAGTATATAAATCTAAACGGTTATGGAATACCCGAAACCCAATTCGGCTTCCATCAGCTATTTGTTTGACGAACCCTGGTTGACCATTGGCGATTACTACATTGTCTGGCCTTGTAGTAGATAACTTTGAGTTTCTGTAAGTGATGATTTCCTTGGATGAATCATAATTTACCTCAGGCTCAGTCAGATTGTCAGCCATATACTGATTCAGTACACTTTGAAAGTAAACTTCTTCGGCATATCGCCGTGCAGCTTGTTTAGCCGTAGCAAATCCGCAACGTATTGAAAGCTTAATTTCCCTCATGTATTATTCAAAAAGGAAGGCAGAGAACGACTCTAAACTGCCATGTTTAACAACGTCCTCTGCAATGTGCTTTAAACTATGCACATTATAGATCAAGTGATCCCTACCGTAACAGTTTTCGTAACCTGATAAGTTGTTCACATAAACCCGAACACTGTTCGCGAATATGGTGTGCAACTTAGGGTGTGATAATAAATATACTGACAAGGACAGGCACTGGAAGTTTTTGTAAATTGCTGATGGTAACCTATCATGGAGAACTACAGAACTTAAGTATGATAAAAACAACCGACATTCTGTTGTTTTCCATACAGAAACTTCATATAATGAACGACATTTCATTTGAAAGTCGCATGTAGTATTATTTGTACATAATTCTAATGCCAAACTGATGAACAAGAAAATAGATTGGTCCATTCCATTAAATCGATTAATGGATAGATTCTTCCATAAGGAAATTG